AAAAAACAATTGCTTTGTCTTATTTCGAGTGCATATTATCTAATTATCTTGTTTTAGGAGTAAAAATACTAGTTCCATTGGCAAATCATCTTATTTATCTGCTAAAATTAAGGGTAAATACACTCAATTTAAGATTTTTTTAACTTAATTCTAGATGGTTTTTGCAGTGTAGTTTATCGGCTTTGTAGAAATGTTTGGATACGCAGTCGAAACTTTGGGTCATCAGTCGACTCTGATATCATTTTATGGGTCAGAAGCAGAAATGTTTGGGTAATGCTGACCTTGAGGCCCAATCAAACTGGTTAAACTGGTTGTGAAAGAGGAGCTCAATGGGTCGAAGGAACAATGTTGGACCAGCCTAGTTCTATGCTGGAGGGAGCCGGCAGAACCGCATAGTCCGCAAACATGAGGATGAAATCAGATGGACCCCAAAATAGACCTAGAAAACTGTCCATGAGGGTTGTTGGTGGAGATTCTCAGTCATCCAGGGCAAAGTCAATCCAAAAAAGTTAAAAATCAACCCACTGGACATTGTTTTCCAAGTCTGGAGATGTTTCGCTTCCCATCCAGGAGGCTTTCTCAGTCCATAATAAGAGTCGTTGATGTCATTATTGGCCTGCAATACCTGCAATTCCTTCCCACTACCATCTGAACCCACATCAGGCGAACAAAATATCTCGCCAGGTCAACCAGGCCAACAATGACCCTTAACGACTGCCTTTTTTAGAAGAATGGGCAGGTATTGGGTATTGCAGGCCAATAACGGCCTTAACGACTCCCATTACGAAGCGGTAGAGTTGGTTACTCTATAAAAGCCTGTAACTCAACGCTAATCCAGACATTTTGAATTGAAAAACCTTCCAGGATGGGAAGAGAAACGTCTTCAAACTTGGAAACAAAGACCAGTGGATTGTTTTTTAATTCCAGTTTTTTAACTTTAACTTTTGTCCATGAGGGTTATGTTGGTCCGCATTTTTTTGTTGAATTATACCAGAATGGATATTGAGTTTCCTCAATATTTGTTTCAGACTGCAAATCAAAACCAACCTGTAACACTATTTTATCGGTTTAGTAGCAGTAAAATACTGATACCTTCTGTTTGAGGTAAAATCATTTAATCATGTAAAAAAGGATTCTGTTTCCCTCCCCCCGTCTGTCTTCATACTGAGGGAGACTCGTGTCCCACAGGATGGTCCCAGACAAGCAGCTGCTCTGTTGGGGCTGATTACAGTCAGAAATCTGTAAATTATAGGGAATCAGATCCTCCAGAAGCTCAGCTCTGCAAACATGGTGGGAAACAAAGAAAGCCTTTTTGTTCCTCTAATGAGAAACATTTAAAAAGTAAAGAAACAATTAAACTGGGAAGAAACGACCAGTTTGAACCGGATGTGTTTCTGATTCAGACAGTGAACATTAGAAGGGGCAAAGAGGATAATCATGATATAGAAAGATTAGATTCTTCTAAACC